TGTAATATCCCAAAATTTTGGGGTATTTTAGCATTTGGTTGGGGACTTATTTGAGAAAAAATATTGTTTTGGGGCTTAATTGTAAAATCTTTAAAATTTGAGGGACTAAAAAGAAAGGAAATTAGGATAAGGATGAATTGCTTTTTCCTTTCTTTTTTCTTTCTTTCTTCTTCCTTATCCGCGCATTTGCTCTTTTCCTTTTCCCCGATGCTCTGCCCCCCGACCCTCTGCACCCGACGAGTCCCCCCAAACTACCGCCACCCATTTTCCGGCCGGAAATCCGGCAAAGCTTGGGGATTTCTCCCTATTTTCTTGTCTTAGAACACCTGTTGAACCCAGAAAATCCCAGATCTGCGTCTTTCCCCCCTCTGCTGTCCGTCGGCTTCAACTTGTGGGTTTGAAATTTCTGGGCGTTTTTCGGTAAGAACAGCCCTGAATCTCCCTTTTTCTCTTGATTTAGGCTTGGGTTTACCTTGAATTGTGTTTTGGTTTTTGGATTGAGGTAGCCGTGAGTTTTCCCCCATGGGTCCCGTCGACTTCCTCACCAGCCAAGCTCGGGTTCTGCTAGCTGGAATTCTGGTAAGTTGCCGGCTCCCAAATCCAATTTATCCATGTAATTGTTGCCTTGTGTTGATTGGGTTTTTGCTTTTGAATTGCCCATTGCTGTCCGAAATTCTGTTGAAAGAGGGGAGGAAGTTGGGTAGCCTCTAAGCATGAGTTTTGTTTAATTCATGTAGAAACTAGCTTAATTTGGTTGTTGTGAGGTTAATTGTGTGAAACCCCCGTGAATTAGCTATGTTTTGCTAATTTGGGAGTTGAAGTTACTGTTCACGAGGTACTGTTCACTGGGTACTGTTCATAAGCACTGTTCACACACCGAGGGTTAATGATTAACGGGGATTTAAAGGATTAGTTTGTGATATAAGAATAAGTTTGGAGATGTCCGGTTATATGGAGATTGATAGAAATAGCATCGAGATTAGGGGTAGTCCCGATGACGATTTTACTTTGAATTTGTGGTGGTATGGTTATTAATTGTGGAATATTGTGATTAGGTTTTGATCGTTCTGTCACCGTAGCACTTGGGTTAGCCTTCTATTCTGTGCGAGTGAGGTAAGTAAATTATGGTAAAGCCCTTCGATTTTAAAGCATGTTTTCAATTGTTTTTGAGATGGTGGCAAGGTTTAAATTGATTTTAAATTGATTTTATCAGTATTTGAGTGTGATTAAACTGAAATGGAAATAATGATGATTTTATGGGAATTTCATTGTTTTTTTTTCTGGAATTGAGCATGATTGGAATGAAATTGTTTTTGTTGCATTGAGTTGAGCATGCCTATTTGGAATTGACTGAACTGTTTTGATTGGAATGAGAGTTGTAAATGTTGAGCTTTCTGTTAAATCCATGGTCACATGGAAATTCTTCGGTTTATGTCTGAGATTTGAGATTGATTGTGAATGATGAATTTTTCTGGAAATCCTGCATGGTTTTGTCTCGGATATAGTCATGATTACTGACGCCCGCTAGTGGGAGCTATAAACGCTAGCACATGTCGACATGTATTTCTGTAGAACCGGTTCACCCTGCCAATGGGGTTAAACACTGGCACTACCTGACGCCTGCCAACGGGAGTGTGTTAAACACTGGCACTACCTGACGCCTGACAGCGGGAGTGTGTTAAACACTGGCACTATTCCTGACGCCTGCCAGTGGGAGTGTGTTAAACACTGGCACTATTCCTGACGCCTGCCAGTGGGAGTTTGTTAAACACTGGCCATGACTTATAGATGAGACTACTGAACTGAATCCGATTTCCGCATTAATGGTTTATCATTAAAAGTTTTGTTATACTTACATGGTTTATCTGGCATGCTAAAAGTTTTACCCAAGGGCTATCCATATTTACTTACTGAGTTTATCTCATAGTTTTTCCTTGTCCACCATTTCAGGAAGCAAAACCGAGGACGGAGAAACCGAGGGGAGTGACGAATTAGAAGGCTAGCCATTCAATTCGGGTATAAGTTTTAGATTTTATCATCCTTTTGTAAGGTTGATTTTATTCATGAGATTTTGTGATTTGGATAAGTTCCGAGCCTTGTGCACTTGTGGGAGCCGTCTCACGAGTGCACGGCGTCTGCCA